GTTGAAAGACATATTGTTCCCCTAAGTAGAGCTTTTTATTTGTCACAGTTAGCCATTGTTTCCTCTTTCTCATCACCAATTCAATCACACTCGTCATTCTCACCAACCAATTTCACCACAAATAAATTAATTATTTTTAATGAAATTTGTAGGAATCTTGTAAGAAACTGATAAAAAAAGTTGTAGGCGAGTTTTGGTAAAAACATATTTTTTACATGAAATTATTGATAGAAAAATGTATAAAATCTCCATTTTATGGTTCTACAGAATTTCATATGAATTTTGCTATAAACATTTTTCGTAGGACCAAATTTTGTTATAAAAACTGTTGGAACGACATATATCCTATGATTTCTTACTTTTCTACTTATAGAAAAATGCTTTTTTCTTATAGTAATTACTAAATATTGATTTTTTTAACATATCTCAAGAAAGAATTATTCAAAGATTTGAAAACTAACTTTGCTTTCTCATTCTTTTTTGACCCATGTTTTTCACGTTGCTTTTCGTGTTCAAATCTTTGAACTTTTTTGTTAACAATTAATTTTCTGATCGTTTTGAACTATAAATTAATCATAGGTTGAGTAATTACAAATTAAATAATGTTTAAGAAACAATATCTTTGACTACAATGATGAAGAACAGAGGAGAAAAAGTCGTGAGGGAAAAAAAATACTAAAAGGTATAGTAGATGAAGTTAAAATAAATTTTAAAGGTAGACGAAATTACAAACTCAACTTATTTGTTTTTATTTTATTTTATAAGATTTTCTTTTGTCCATAACTATGCGTTCAACTTTCTTTTTACATAAGTACATACAGTATATGTGTTTCATAAGAATAATTATAAACAAAATTGGAGTTAATAAATATTACTCTTTGTTTAGTTAACGTCACTTATCACTTAGCAAAGGGACATTATAAAATAAACCTCGTACAGCTTATAGCTAACTTAGAAACTATTAGTTATTTATAAGCAATTAGAAATTGGAGACTCTGAAATTTCTTAACTTATCGATTCCTAACTTTTTATATAATGGAATCAAACTTGCAAACTCTTTTATATAGTAGAGTCAAACTTTCAATAAATATTTTGAAACTTTCAGATAAAGAAGTTAAATATTTTTTCTTCTTTTTTTTTTTTGACAACAAATCGAATAGATTAATTTTAGAATATTTTTTTCCGATTTATTTTATTTACAGATTGATTAAAAATTATTGGCTTCCAATGTGGGAAAACAATGTTTGCATAATAAATTTTTGAAAGCTTAGATTTTTTTTTTTTTATCATCATAAATATAAGATTAGCTCAAATGAGCCAATTAGGAGGACAATTGTTTACAAACTTGACAAGTTGCGGCAAGAATAGCTTTACAAAGCTTAGATTTAGTGAGGCTAAATAAATAGCTTTAGAATTTAATAATATGAACAATAAGTGACAAGTTAGAAAAATCATTTCAGAGTAGACCAATCCTATTTAGTACAGTAAAGAAAAGAAAAAAAAAAAATTCATGTATACATAATATGTCTCAACCACTAATATTATCGAGTTTTTTAAGAGTTCAAAATATTGTAAAACTGTAATAAAAAAGTATCAAAACAGTATAAAAAATTGAAAGTAATGTTATGGTTAAGTAATTTTTTGATATCACATTTGTGATCGGTAATTATAAAAGCGGTATTCTCTGTTTCACATAGATACGAAATTACCAATTAAAACCTACAAATATGTTTTAGAACAGATACTATATAAATCAAAAATTTCCTTTTACAACTTATAAATGTAAAGAATTTATTCCTTGCCTTATAGTTTGTCTACGAGCTAAATTCTTTTGAAGTTGTTCTCTTCCTACAATTACGAACATTTCAAACTTAAACTAAACATCGTCAGTTTCCAAGAATTTAAAATAGCAAATTTTAAAACAACATAACAATTGTATACTAATATATGCTAAAATCTTAATTGGTTATTTGACTCGCTACTTAGGTTCAACGAATCCAAGTTTTATAATAAAATGCTCTTTAGCCTATTACACAAACTTCATATATACACAATATTAATTTATTTTTCATTGCTCTTGAAGCAAAAGTACTATTACTATAAATAAGCATAGAGACGTCCATGGATTATCACTACTCTCATCACAAACAAAAGTATCAAACAAGTGAAGAAGAAAAAAGAGAGACATCATGACTACAACTCCAGACTGGATCATGATTGGAGGAGATGGTCCTGAGAGTTACAACCAACAGTCTTCGTATCAGGTTTGTATTCCTTGTGTATAGCTAGGTTCTGAATTCTTGAGATGTAAGTATCTAAAAAACTACCATTTATACAGAGAGCGTTGCTAGAAGCGGCAAAGGACAAGATGACCGAGGCGATTTCATCGAACCTCAGCCTGGATTTGATTTCGAACCGGTTCAATGTAGCAGACTTTGGATGTGCTAGTGGACCTAACACTTTTGTGGCAGTCCAAAACATAATAGATGCGGTTGAAGAAAAGTACCGTAAAGAAACCGGACAAAACCCGGCTGAGAACATCGAGTTCCAAGTCCTGTTCAACGACTTTACCCTCAACGATTTCAACACTCTCTTCCAGACACTTCCACCGGGGAGAAGATACTATAGCGCCGGGGTTCCTGGTTCTTTCTTCGACCGTGTTCTTCCTAAGGAGAGTTTCCATATCGGAGTCATGAGTTACGCGTTCCATTTCACGTCCAAGATCCCCAAAGGTATCATGGACCGCGACTCTCCCTTATGGAACAAAGACATGCAGTGCACCGGGTTCAACCAAGTGGTCAAGAAAGCGTATCTTGATCAGTACTCCATCGACACCAAGAAATTACTGGATGCTAGAGCTGAAGAGCTCGTGCCCGGAGGACTGATGTTGCTTTTAGGATCATGTCTAAGAGACGGAGTTAAGATGTCTGAGACCCCTAAAGGAACAGTAATGGATTTTATCGGAGAATCTCTTAGTGATCTTGCTAAGCAGGTATAAAGAAACATCTTCAAAGTATTACCAATATACATGTAACATGTGATTTACATAAGTACTTAACTAATATATATAGTCTTCTTTATATTAATTTTTTTTTGGTTTTTAAAAGGGTTTCACTGAGCAAGAGAAGGTGGACACATTCAGAACCTCAATTTACTTTGCGGAACAAAGCGAGATAAGGCAAATCATTGAAGAGAATGGGAAGTTCACAATCGAAGCTTTCGAGGATATCATTCACTCCAAGAATGAGTTTCCACTAGATCAGCCCAAAACATTGGCAATCTCCTTCAAAGCCTTCTATGGAGCTTTCATTGCCGCACATTTTGGAACCGAGATCATGAGGAAGGCCTTTGAACTTGTCGAGATCAAGGCGCGCAAAGAGATGTCTCGTCTCACGAATGCCAAACCCGGAATGCAATACCTCATCGTGCTTCGCAAGAACTGATCCAAATATATTGTACTAATGGTGTTGTGTCATTTTTTTTTTTTTTGAATAACTAAGAGGTTCTATGCCAAAACTCATACATCTACTCAGGCCCGAGACCATATGACCAGAGCAGGTAATATGGTCTCGTCCCAAACAGTACTCGAACTGCAGACCTCTAGGCTTTTGTTGTTTTGTTTTTGCGTCTTTGTATCCACCCCTATCCTTTAAACTAATAAAACTTCACTTTATGCTTATACAACTAGTGTTATTGATAAATGATATTAGATGGGGAAAATAACATTGTCAAAAACTTCATTTGGGTTATGAGAGACATGTATAATAATTCTTCTAAAATTACCAACTTTAGTATTTCGTAATATTTCTATATTAAATGCTTTGATTATTTTAAAATGTACATTAAATTGGGATTTAAGTCATTTATTTTTATATTCCTATATTTATATAGATAGCTTACAAATAATTGTATTTATATAAATTTTAGTATATATAAAAATGTTTTTTATAATTATAAATTAAATTTCAGCCACTATTACACATTCAGACCAATTAATTTTGAAGCTTTAGTGACTCAAATGATATTCCAATACTAGTTAATTCTAATATGTGTCTAAAATATATTATAGACCAAACACAGCTACTATATAATCTTCAAACATAATAAATATTCGACAAATTTAAAAAGGGACAAATTTTAATATAATTATAAGTTTTTTTTAAAATAGCATAAAACTGTTTGTGCATGGCATGAGTTCTTCTTCCCTAGTAAACTCTTTAAATGATTTGTCATAATGTAGCAATGTAAGCGTTTCTACACAAGTTACATTCATTTGAATATTTTGACTATGAGCTTGAAATAGCTGTATAAGAAAATCACAAAAATGTCGAAGAGACCCAATCATCAAGATAAAATACTTAATATAAGACCCTATTTTATTATATAGCAAAACTTAATATATGTCTAAAACTAAATGAAAATTAACTTACATTTTTATTAACCTTACATTTTTTTGGACAAATTTTATAAACCATATACAATCTTTTAAAATAATTGGGAAAAAGTCCGAAAAATACTTGGTTTAATTTTTTTTTGGACTTTAAACATGAACTTATTTTTTGGAAGAAAAATACATATACTAAAGGGGTGTTATTCAACCTTGTATATTAATTGATTTGGATGTATTTCAAAATCTAGCGTTATTTAATGATGTATTTTAAAAACCACAATAAAATCTGCTGTTATTGGATTTAACATTTGTTGGATGTATTTTTAAATACTTTAAAACAAGCGTTATTCAATTTTCAATGGATTTTGTTTCATTTAAGATTTTAATGTATTTTACATATAAAACACGTACAAACACAATCCTAACAATTTTCAAAGTATTTCATCTCTTTCACACAAAATCCATCTTAATTGTATTTAAATGCTATTAAACTTTAAAATCCACCGGTAATTAAAATCCCTTAAAATTCTCCATCCAATAACACCCCCTAATTAACAATTCTTATTTAAATCCCAAAAAATAAATTTTTGTTATTTTCATACCCACGATCTCAAAATAAAAATATAATTAACATTACATTTTTTTGGACAAATTTTATTAACCTTATATAATCTTTTAAAACAATTGTGATTTCACATAAATGTATTATTCATAAGAAAAATACAAAATAATTTACCAAACTATGTAAACGAACAACCACCATAACTTGGATTAGTATCAACGATTCGACCAGAATGATTGAAATCACAGGCCTTTTCAGTGGCCCCGTTTAACTTGTAGTATTCATTCATCATAACTGATGCATGGTTAGCAACAGTATTTGGCTCATAGCAAGGTCCTCCAGGCCCGATTATGACACAATACGCTTCAGGTAATATACCACATAAGTAATCAAGGTTAGTTTGCAATTGTGCATCACTTGCCGATGGATCAGCCACACACCATGTCCTTGCTGAGACATGAAGGGAGTGGGATGCAAGGAAAGATAGAATGAAGATTACTGTCAACCGCTGAAACATTGTGGTGTTTTGCTTTGTGAATGATAACTCAAATGGCATTGCAATATATATATATATATATATATATATGATAAAATTTCTTCTAGGGTTAATTTATTTTCACAATATTCGTACTTTATTTAAAGTTTGTTGACCAGTTTATGGTAGTTTATGTTTGGAAATATAAGATTAGCTTACTATTAAAGTCAATGTAAATTATGGAATGTTAATAGTGTATGAAAATATAAACGGGTGTTATTGGTTTGTGATTTTTATAGTGTTTTAATGACTTTAAATATGAGAATTTTGGGAATGAATTACAAAGAAAGATAGAAAGAAGATTATTGTCAACAGCGGAAACATTGACATTGCAACATACATGTACATATATATACAATATGATAAATAATAATTTATAAAATAATTAAAAATATATTTTTATAAACTATGTCCTTGCTGAGACATGAAGGGAGTGGGTTGCAAGGAAAGATAGAAAAAAGATTACTGTCAACCGTTAAAACATTGTGGTGTTTTGCTTTGTAAATGATAACTCAAATGGTACTGTAATATATATACTTAGGATAAAATTTCTTCTAAAGTTAATTTATTTTCATAATATTCATACTTTATTTAAAGTACGTTGACCAGTTTATGGTAGTTTATGTTTGGAAATATAAGATTAGCTTACTATTAAAGTCAATGTAAATTATGGAATGTTAATAGTGTATGAAAATATAAAAGGGTGTTATTGGTTTGTGATTTTTATAGTGTTTTAGTGACTCTAAATATGACAATTTTTGAGAAATATCGCATTTAGTTTACCCCTTTTTAAAACTATCCTCTTTATCTATCTGTTTTCAAAATACATCTGTTTAAATATAAAAAATTATAAAGTTTTATATAGTTCATAATGTACTTCTATATAATAATTACTACTAGGAGATTTGATACAAATATTTTAAAATATTTTAAATTGTTTTAAATCATTTTTATAAGTTTTATAAGAGTTTTAAACTGGTTTATAAGGTTTTTAAAAAGTTTTTAAAAGTTATTTTTACGCTATTTGTGAAATATATATAAAATCTTATACACATAAAAAGGTAATTTGTGTATATATTTATAAGATTACACACAAATTTGGATAAATTTCAGGCTTTTTAGTGTTTTTTTATAAAGTTTGAAATTGAGATATTTTTAAGAATATGTATATGAAAAGGAGTATTTTTGAAATTCCCCCACTTTAAATGTTATGTAACCATGTAGCACACAAGTTACATTCATTTGAATATTTTGACTATGAGCTTTAAATAGTTGTATGAGAAAAATCACAAAAATATTGAATAGACCAAATCATCACGATAAAATACTTAATATATGACCCTATTTTTTATATAGCAAAACTTAATATGTTAAAAATGAACGAAAATTAACTTTCATTTTTTATTAACCTTACATAATGTTTAAAACTAATTTTGATTCCACATAATTGTATTATTCATAAGAGTACAAAATCGTTTACAAAACCATGTATTCTAAATATACACACAACCCCCATAACTTGGATTACTCTCAATGATTCGACCAGAAAGAGTGAAATAACATGCCTCTTTAGTGGCTCCGTTTAACTGATAGTATACATTCATCATATAAGATGCATGGCTAGCAACAGTATTTGGTTCGTAGCAAGATCCACCAGACTTGACTATTCCACAATCAAGGTTACCACATAACCAATCTAGGTTAACTTGTAGTTGTGCTTCGGATGCCGATGGATCAGACACACACCATGTCTTTGCTGATACATGAAGGGAATGAATTACAAAGAAAGATATAAAGAAGATTAATGTCAACCGCGGAAACATTGTGGTGTTTTGCTTTGTAAATAATAAATTAATAACTCAAAATGATATTACAACATACATCCACACACACACATCTATATACTTTGAACCATAAAAAATGGTCAAAAGTTTATATTATTATATGGAAATAAATTACTTTCAAAAATTTTTTTTTATCATAATATAAAAACCTTTGACCATTTTTATATATATTACTTTCCGAAGGTATTACTTTCAAGTAATATATATAAAAATGGTCAAAGGTTTATATATTATGATAAAATTTCTTCTGAAAAGTAATTTATTTCCATATAATAATATAAACCTTTGACCATATCTTATGGTTCAAAGTATAAGATTAGCTTACTGTTAAAGTTAATGTAAATTATGGAATGTTAATAATTATAAAATAAAATTTGAATTAGTTTATACATTATTATAAATATTAATATTATTATTATTATATATTATTATTTAATTTCTTTTGCTAATCAGACATTAATTATATCATATATTAGTTGACTGGAAGTTCAAACAGCTAGGAGTTGGACTGCGAACGGTGAAAGTTGAGGTAAAGATGTTAAAAAGGAAGCAGACACAGTTTGGCCTAAGCTTCTTTATCACGCTAAACCATTCCTTAAGGTGTGATCTCAACCCATTCATTTCACTTAGGATGTGATGATTGGGTAATGTTCAAAATGATTTGATGATGAAAGACGTGCAAGAAGTACAAGATAAGGTCTTGTCTACTCATGTTTCTAAAGCACTAATATTTCTAAGAGGAATGTCTTACCTATGACTTCTTCTAGCTAGGAAGAGGTTATTGGCGAATGTTATGCTGCGTAAATTTACATGAGATGGTGACAAACATAAATTGGGTGTAAAATCGCAACAGTAAGCATAGGAGAAGCCACTCTCTGGAATAAAAAAATCATATGTCAAGTAAAGATCATATGTCATGGCATATTGGTGATTTGATAGAGGATTATCTTAAGGATACTTGGAGGAAACAGAAGCCAAATATTTTATTTTTATCTCGATATATAGCACAAGATAATACCTAGTTAGATCATAATTGACAAAACTTTAATTTGATAATTAATACTTTTTTTGGGTGAAATTTAATAATTAATACTTAATTACATGGCATAACACTAAATTATATTATCTTTTGAGTTTAAACAGAGGTATGTGCCCCATATAAATTTCTAGATTTACATAATTAATCAAATGACTTAATCAAATTAATCTTGCTAATATCCTCCTCAATTTTAAAGTTTAATCAAATTTTAAATCTTTTAATTAATTTATTTTTATTTAAATTATTTCTCCAAATAGTTTATTATTTAAAATAACTCTTTGAGGTATTCATTTTGGTTTTCTTCTTCATATGTCGATATAAATATGTTTTGGTCTAATAAGTTTTTTATACATATTGTAACCCAAAAATAATATTAGCTATAACTAATAAAACTGATATTAAAAAAAATCACCGACCCTACTCAATATGAATGATTTCAAGTCGCCGGCTACTATACTCAATATGATTTATTTGATGGCTATTGACTAATCTTCAAGATCTACTATTTTGAAAAATACATTTTCTACTTTTGGAAAGTTTTAGAATATATTTTCAGACCTAAAATAATAGTGTATGGTTTCCTTATTTTTATAATCTGAAGTGGTCATACAACTATTTTACACATCATAATCTGAGTTATTATTATTCAACATATGTCGTCCCAATACCGTCATGAGTTATAAGTTTAATTTGTCTAGTGTCACGTAAACTTTACGTTGAATATAATAATTTGTTTACAAAGAATATATTACTATAAATAGGATTATCACTAACACATCAATCAAGAAGAGGATAGAAAAAGAGAGAGACATCATGACTATTGACTACCACTCATAAACTTCCAACAAAATAAGTAACGAATCAATGATGATATTATTAGGGTTTGAATGGTGAACATCAAACAAAAATTTCTTCTGAACTCACATAATTTATTTTATTTTTTTTCAAATAAGAATTTTTCTGTAATTTATATTTTATCTATCAAACAATTTGAAATATTTTACCGAACAAACATATAAACCAAAGTTTAAATTAATTATATTTTTGTTATTTAGATGGTTGAATTATATCTGAAAAAAACCTTATTATATTTGCTTATCGAGATTTAATCTATAGGAAGTATTCACATCCTTTTCTCAATCTTTGGGTTTTCGACAAATTAATATTAAAAAGTGAATTTTTTTTTTGTTGAAAGAAAAAAAAATCTTTTTATGTATAAAACTATTTCATCTATCAAAAAGAGTAAAAAATATATAAATTTAACTTCATGCGTTGACCGGTCAGACCCGACAAGTATGACTTTTCTTTTTGAATCAGAAGATTGATTATCAAACAACAATATCAATTTTCCTTCAAACTCTATTTCTTTAATTATCGAAGATAAGACTATATATAATACCTATAGTTTTTACAGATTTATTGTTGTTTGACTCGAATTTATATTGAAACGAATAGATTAAAAATTTATTATTGTTGTTTTGAAAGATCTACATTAAACACACAAAAAAAAGTTCAGCTAACAGATTAAAAATTATGAGAAACTTAAATTAATTAAATATATATTAAAATAACTATATATAGCAAAAGATTATTCTTATTTAGATCGTAATTGGCAAAACTTTAATCAAGCATATAATTTACTTATTGATGCTTAATTATACGACATTGTACTAAATTATACTCTTAATTTTATTTTAAACAGATCATCACCATGGGTAGATGCAGGTGAAAACTAGGTGAGATATGTTCCCCATATCAATTTCTAAATTTAATTAATTAACTAAATGACTTAGTTTCCTCAAAATAGTTTTATTATATCAGACTAACTTTTCGAAGTATTTTTTTTGGTTGTCCTCTTTATCTTAAAAATTGGTCTTATAATTACTGTATACAAAAAAAAAAGATATATATGAACATATATTAAAACAAAAATTATATTAAAAAAATTGACCCTACTCAATATGAATTATTTCAAGCCGCCGGTACTATCAATATGAATTATTTGATGGCGATTGACTAATCTTCCAGATACTGTGTAATACATCATCTTCTAATTGCATTTTTGCCATTTTTGGAACAGTTTGAGAATACATTTTCTATCTGCATAATATGTCATTTTCTAATTTCAGTTTCCTGTTTTGGAACAGTTTTATAATTACATTTTCAGGCCTAAATTATAATTAGGGCATGCATATGGATGCCTAATTTGTAAAAAATTTATGTGTTCATATAAATATTTTACAAATGTCATATCTAACTTATTTATCCGACATATGCCATTTGTAAAATAGTTGTATGAACACTTAAATTTTTTTATAATACCGTCATGAGTTTAATAAGTTTTCACGTAAACTTTACACTGAATATAATAATACTATGTTAAGAGAAATATTACTATAAATAGGCATAGGGAGGTCCATGGTTTATCACTACTCTCATCACAAACCAAACACATCAAACAAGAAGAGAAGAGTGATAACAAGAAAGAGAGATCATGACTACCACACCAGATTGGATTATGATTGGAGGAGATGGTCCTGAGAGTTACAACCAACAGTCTTCGTATCAGGTTTTTATATAAATGCTTTGCAATTTTCGTTAGCTAGCTAGGTTCTGAATTGATTTTCTAAGAGATGTATGTAACAGTCTCCTCTATATACAGAGAGCGTTGTTGGAAGCGGCAAAGGACAAGATGACCGAGGCGATTTCATCGAACCTCAGCCTCGATTTGATTTCGAACCGGTTCAATGTAGCAGACTTTGGTTGTGCTAGTGGACCTAACACTTTTGTGGCAGTCCAAAACATAATAGATGCGGTTGAAGAAAAGTACCGTAAAGAAACCAGACAAAACCCGGCCGAGAACATCGAGTTCCAAGTCCTGTTCAATGACTTTACCCTCAACGATTTCAACACTCTCTTCCAGACACTTCCTCCGGGGAGAAGATACTATAGCGCCGGGGTTCCTGGTTCTTTCTTCGACCGTGTTCTTCCTAAGGAGAGTTTCCACATCGGAGTCATGAGTTACGCGTTCCATTTCACTTCCAAGATCCCCAAAGGTATCATGGACCGCGACTCTCCCTTGTGGAACAAAGACATGCAGTGCACCGGGTTCAACGAAGCAGTCAAGAAAGCGTATCTTGATCAGTACTCCATTGACACCAAGAAACTACTGGATGCAAGAGCTGAAGAGCTCGTGCCCGGGGGATTGATGTTGCTTTTAGGATCATGTCTAAGAGACGGAGTTAAGATGTCCGAGACCCCTAAAGGAATAGTAATGGATTTTATCGGAGAATCTCTTAGTGATCTTGCTAAACAGGTATAAAGAAAAACATCTTCAAACTATATATTACCAATATACATATGTACTTAACTAACATATTACTTTGTCTTTTTGGCTTTAAAAAGGGTGTTACAGAGCAAGAGAAGGTAGACACTTTCAGAACCTCAATTTACTTTGCGGAACAAAGCGAGATAAAACATATCATTGAAGAGAATGGGAAGTTCACAATCGAGGCTTTCGAGGATATCATTCACTCCGAGAATGAGTTTCCACTAGATCAGCCCAAAACATTGGCAATCTCCTTCAAAGCGTTCTATGGAGCTTTCATTGCCGCACATTTTGGAACCGAGATCATGAGGAAAACCTTTGAGCTTGTCGAGATCAAAGCGCGCAAAGAGATGTCTCGTCTCACGAATGCCAAACCCGGAATGCAGTACCTCATCGTGCTTCGCAAGAACTGATCCAAATATATTGTACTAGTTGATATGTTTTACCCCATTGTTACTTCAACTTTTCTCGTCATGTCATGGTGCGTTACTGCGTTGTCATGTTTTTTCTTCTTGTTGTTTTGTCTTTGGGTCTTTGTTTTCTCCACTTTCCAATAAATTAATAAAACCTCACTCGGTGCTTATGATTAACATTGTTCCATATGTTTATTTT